GTCTACCCTAGTTCTGGACGTATTTTAGGGTATATATAGCGTGTCCAATTTAGGTAAGAAAGGAGTTGGAGTCGAAAAAGGAAACTGCAGAAAATCACCCGAAGTTAAAACATTCAAATCATATAAATCAAACATTTGTCCAATCGAAACCAATGTTGAATTTATGAAATAACGAAAATTTAAATCATCAAAAGGTTCATCAAATTCCTAATGAACAAAAACCTTAGCCTATCATATTTTGAAGAAAAAGTTTCTTCTATGCGACCGCATAGAAGAAACCTATGCGGTCGCATAGGTCATTTGAGTTGCCCAATTTTTTTCCCTGTAACCATCTATGCGACCGCATAGATGGTTACACTATGCGGTCGCATAGATGTAACCAACTATGTGGTTTTTACATTTTGGTCCCTGAACTTCCTTGTTGCTTCTCTTGACTTCTTTCTTCGATTTCTTCATCTTTTCAACAAATTTTGTCTTCCAATTAATGATTGAGACCATCAATTCTCATGCCCCTCATTCGGCACATCTTTTGAGTATTTGCGCTTTAGTCCTCCAACTTTCAATTGTCTTCATTTCAGTCCCTCTTTAATACTTTCTTCTTCCATTTGTTTTGCTTTGTCATTGAGCTCATACTTGGCATGTTTTCACTCTCGTTTTGCATTTAGCTCAACTTCTCAATATTTGCACCTTTGGTCCTTGAACTATCAAATTGTTGCATTTTGGTCCTTCTTTGGCTCTTTTCTCCTGAATTCCACAATTTCCATTGAATTACCTACAATGCATGAATTTAACTGGATTAAGTCACATGTCCTATTGAGCCGCATTGGACTCAGTCAAAACCCTGAAGTCTGCGAAGTTCCCTTAAAGTTCAAACCAGAGCGCCATTTTGCTGAAAATGTTTCAAGCAAAATCGAGTTATCGGGTCTGCTCTTGGAACACTTCTGACTGTAATGGCATTGGCAAGGCTTATTCAAGGTTTTATATGGAGCGTACCACCCAATGAGGAGAGGATTGATCTCTCTACATCGGATGAACTCCTTCTGACTAAACCTTTGCTTGTACATGGAAGGCCTCGCTTGCATGAGGCAATGTACCCTACCCTGTAGCACCTTGAAATGGTCTACTATAAAAAAAATCATAATGTGCGTCCGTAGGAGAGAGAGACTAGTCTTTTCTTTTAATTACCTTAATATCTAAGTTCTTCGTGGCAAATAAAATTAGTATTTGAATATATAATGCATTTTCGATCTGCATTTCTATCAAATTGGGAAAGAATTGTGATCGTTAAATAGACCATATATTGGTTTCTCTTTCTATATAAATTTGGTACCTATGTTATATATGCCCATCTACACCAAAAATTACACTCCGACCGATCCAGTATCACTTATTGAAATTTAACCAAGTAAGTTTATCACGTTATCTTGAGCAATGTTATGAAATAACCGGTACCGCTTCAGATCCCGTTTTTATGGGCATGAAATCATGAATTAATTGCATCAACTTAGATGTTAATTTATTTGTTTTTAAACAACACACATTAATAAACTGAAGAAGTCATCTTTAATATTAGGGAAAATTGCAGCAGCGGTACCAAACCTTTCGTTTATTAGCAGATTTTGCCAAAACCTTTAGTTTGTACCACCGTGAGTACCAAATCTTTGAAAAATTTGCACCTGAAGTCCAAATGGATGGTTTCTATTAGTTTGACCGTTGGTTGATCCAATAAATTGACTTTGACCAATTTTAAAAGAGGCAAAATTGTAACTTTGAATTAAATTTAAAAACAAAGAAACAAAAAAAAAAAAAAAAATCAAAAGCATATAACTATTCATCTTCTCTTTCCCACTCCCACTGTCACCATCTCCTTGATACCCAATCCCAAATTAATCCAACACCACAGTCGTCGTTGCATCCCCTGCCTTCCGCTTCCGCTACAAAACTCATCTTATCATCAATTTCATCATCCCAAATCACAAACCATTATCAAACCAATCAAAAAACCATTTCATTCCCATCAAGAATTTTCAAGTCAATGTAATCTACGGTTTCAAGTCAATGTAATCTATGGTGGCGGAAACACACCTTACGGCCACACCCACCATTTCAGACCACCACAGACGCTCAATATGATGGTGATGATTCAATAAAATAGGGCCAAAACATCAATGTATTTTCTAGGATTTTACATCCAATGCGTGTGAATAAGACTCTAATATCCAATCCAACTTATGGTTTTCCCATTGTTCAATCCACAAACTCACCTACTAGAACTCATATTCATACTCAAACGATTGTGGGTACACAATTAATTGATCCAGTTGCTGCTCAATTGCCTCGTAATTCGATCCCTGAAGTAGCGACTTGACTGTTCCGTCAATTGCAATTGGCGGCCAAAATATTGTTCTTCCATCCATTGTGATTCACCGATGGTCGAAGTGGGCCTTTCCTTGCTTTGTGAGAGCTAAAATACTGCTTAGTAGATCTCTTTGATTTGGAAGGGATGATGAATACAGGGTGCGTTAATTTAGGGTCGAGGGGTGGGGTTATGAAAAGTACTTTTTATTTTTTGGGGTAGGGGGTGGACTGACTTTTCTCTTTTTATTAATCTATGTTTTGTTTTATTTTTATTTCAAAGTTACCATTCTACCCCTTTTAAAATTGGTCAAAATCAATTTCTTGAGTCAACTAACAGTTAAATTAATAGAAATCATCCATTTGGACTCCAGGTGCGAGTTTTTCAAAGGTTTGGTACTCACGGTGACACAAATTAAAGGTTTAGGCAAAGTCTGCTAATAAACGAAATGTTTGGTATCGCTGCTACAAATTTCCCTTAATATTATGAAATTGTGGATGTCACGAGTTATGAAAATTTTTATCGAAGGAAATGCATAATGTGTAGATAGCAAACAGCACCGCTTCAATTACGAATGTCATTCTTATTTTTCTGCATTTATTCTTTCCTCTTTGCTGGCATACTTTATTACCATCAAGTGGAAAATGAGATAATAACACAAGAATTTAAAAAATGATATGATGTGTACCAAAGTATATATAGAATTGGCTATATGAATCCTTCCTTTTATTTCTGTTAGATTCTCTGTTGTAATTGACGATTCTGTGAACAAAGATGACTAAATTGAATATGTATAAAAGTCAATGAATAAGGTGCAATTTTGTATAGTTGTATAAATTAGCTTAAGGTTAGAAATCAAGTTTGGAACAATGAAGAAGAGATGCCACAATTTTGCTAGCTACTCACCAAGACATTGCTCGAGCGATAAAAGAAGAATGGTTGTCGCTAGCTTGTCACTACCTATTCTCTCGAGCGAAAGTCTGTAGCTTGCTTTTCGTTGGAGGGTCACTCGAGCCACAGTGTTATTCAGTTAACCCTAATTCGCGATTTTGAAAAGTTTTACACGGTCTATAATACCTAAACATTCCTAACTATAAATACCCAAGTCTTGCACAACTTTCTTAAGTGGTTTTTCATTGTGCCTCACATACATATCATCTTCATATCATTCTTTGAATATCTAAGTCTTTGCTCATACCTTGATTCAATCCCTTGATTCTTGAGATCCGGCAACCACATATTGAGAAAACATCAAACCCTTGAAGTCAAAACACCTAACTTCCTTAACACCCTAAGGAATGTATTATCTTAGTTGGGCATTGGGAGAAGTGGACTGTCTCAACTATCTAGCCGTCATATTAACACAATAACTTTTTCAAGAGTTCTTGTTTGGAGTAGGTGGTCCTCCGGCAAGAGCGGAATGACATACTCTACAGTATTAAATAAGATCGTTATGGGGCTCATTGATGAGTGCTTTATACTCACGATATTTATGTCATCTAATTTGTTATTTTGCTACTCTTGAGAGTGTTTTAGAATTTTTTAATGTGTGTTTTGATGTTGTGATGTAGGTTGATGAAATTGAAAAAAAAAAAATAAAACGTTGGTGAAATTGGAGAAAATGACCAAATTGTAAGAGATCCAAAGTTCAGGGACTAAAGTGCAAATATTGAAAAGTTGTGTTGAACCTCGCAATGAAGATCCGAGAGTGCTATGAGTCAATTGGATGAAAAAAAAGATGTCAAAGGAATAAAATTTAGTCAAAATATGATCACAAATCAGTTTTCAACCGAAAAGTTATGCCTCGAAGTTTTAGCCTCATATTAAGACTCATTTTTATCATAGAAAACGATCAATATGATGAATGATGCCTGAGGAAAAGTTGTAGCCCTTTGAGTTAGTTTTCCAATGCATCTTGAATCATCTCAATTGGACATCGGATGCAAAATTTATGCTAAAAACACTGAAGGATGTGTAGTCTATCATTTCGACCGAACCGAGCGCCGTAGCGCCCATATCGGCACCGGATATGTGGGAGAACGGGTTTTTATGCTTTTGACTCTTTTATTGGCCAAATTCAACCCTATTTCGTTCAAGACCCCTAATATACTATAAGTACCATTCAAAAACCTTATTTTAAAGAGAGAATGGAAGGGGGCAAGATTGAAGAATTCAACCACACAATATGAAGGAGGTAAAAATTGAAGACATCGAAAGGAAGGAGGAACGATATCAAGGAAGAAGATTGAAGATTTACCCAAAAGACTAGTTTTTCCTATCCTTTTCCTTATATTATATATTATAATTTGTATGATTTTCATTTATTACACCATGAATTAAACAATTTATCTAGGGGATTGATGTAGCCAAATCAAGATTATGATTTGATGATTTTATAATTATTTCTTTGATTTTCCCGCATATATTTAATTGTATCATGATTTTAATGCTTTTAATTGCCTGATTAACAATTAGATGATTTGATGCTAGTCAATTATGGCGCTCGAGAGAGTGGGAATTTAGGCATGATCATAAAAGTGATACAACATAGAATTTATAGGTTTCGAGAGAAAGTATGAATCTATGAAGCTTACTCCATAAAAGAATCGAATTTTTATTAAATTATTGATTTTCAATTTTGAACAGAGATGTTAGAATTGGGATCTAGGGTTAATTTCTAATCGGTGCTCGAGAGAGGGGGTTAGAAATACATTATGATTCTTGCTTTTAAATATGGAAAAATTAATTGGAATAATTTGTATTCGTTGAATCATAATTGAAAGTTAGGTGAAATCAATCCCTAGGCCTTCTCATTTAATAATTTGTATTCCCCAAATTTGTCACATCCAATTACGTTAGTTTAGTTTAAATCGTTCATTCATAAAACATCAATTCAATCATACATTCATCAAAATAAAATAGAAATTGCATAATTATAGTACTTAGTGAAAATTAAATACAATTCATGTGGGTTCGACGCTCTTACTTCAATACTATATTACAAAACTTGACACCTACACTTGCGGTTAAACCACGTTGCATAAAACGCGTGGCACTTATATGAATTTTTGAATGTGATTCTATACTACTTGTAGATAGTTACAAGGCTTACTATATATTTTACATCCATATATATATTTCATAGTAAAAGTTGAATTTTCAGTTTATATCTATTGTGTTGTGTTATTTTTGGAATTTATGCGTAGTGAATTACAGGTCGGTTAGTCCAATTTACAGGAGAGATAATGTCGAAATTTGACTAAAAATAATTTAGAAATAGGTGAATATTGTACTAGTCTTGATAGTGGATCCAACTTTGAGTTGGTATCTGGCATTGACGCACATCATGTTTCGGGACCACTGGCATTACTTGGAGTGGGACGTGTCATGCTGATTCATGCTTTTCTTTTTTTCTTTTTTTTTAATGGCGGGGTAAACCCGCAGCCGCTATCTTTTGGGTGCGCACTGGGTAAACCCTATTGCGTTAACCCGCACTAAGCAAGCTCTGATTCATGCTCTTTGATGATATGTGGAGGAGAATTTGGGAAAATTTCTTACATGAACAAGAAAAATTTCACTTGGATGCTCTTTGAAGTATAAAACGTGTATGGCAATAAATAATGTAGTTTAACAGGATAACTACAAAATTTGAATTTTTTCGTATCTTTTGGCAATAAAAACAAGAAGAAACTGAAATGCATACATGATATTTAATTCTGATAACGAATTCGATTCAAATGTATCTCTATG